AAAAGAGAAAAATATCAAATGGATCAAACTAAACACATTGAATATTAATTAACTATATAAAGTTATATATAATTATTGTATAGTGAACACATGATATTAAATTTAAGGCAACGAGTAAAATATAACAACTCAATTGTACATGAGAATTAATTTATTATCGAGTGTTCTAATGAAGATTGGCTTGCTAAGTAGTTTTGTAGACTCATCAATAGAATTCCAAATTTTAGCATCTATGAATTTGATGTTCATTAAGCCATAATTTGTTCTAGTCTTTATAGGAAGCACGAAAGTCAAATTTAGATGCCACTCTTGTATTGTAAGAATGTCTTTTAAAAAATGGTAGAAAAAAGTTATTTAAAATTGAGGGTAGGTTGCCAGCATGATAATCWTACATAAATATTGCAGYATACAAATAACKTAGATCAACTATRCTGCATACCAAGTSCGAATTGCACTATGGACGATGTGAATCGATCAGTAAACGTATGCAACATGAAGAATGCAAAAGAATCCTCAACAACCTTTTTGAAATAGCTCTATAAACAATACCAGAGACAATTATACGTATCATTGTTGATTGGTAATTAATTTAGCAATTCTCCTCATCCATGTATACTTCGCATTATAATGTCATTATGCGATCCTCATCGCGTATGCTCTGATGAGGTCATAGGTCAAAGGTGCAACGTATATTCTCAAAGACTTACAATTATCCCGCAAGGTAAGTTACCTCTTGTTTAAACTTTCAATAAACAATTTTCGAGTTCAAAATTCGGGCCGCTGTGTTCCTTGATTGCAGATTCGTTTACTTAGTGTTAGCCTTGAATTGGTGTCTAAATATTCAAAATTACAAACGGTAAAAACACTTTGAAATTCCACGGACCTGCACAAAAATAGAACCTAACCCTGAGCAACAGATTAATCGATAACTTCAGTATTTCATACTATTTTCTCAGAAGCAAAATGAACAACGTCGTGGAAACAAAAACAATCGTAAATACGATTAAAAAAAAGATGTCCAAACTATGAGCAAAATCCATCCAAAATTCGCGCCACATCTCTTTCTCGTCAATGACTTTGTTGCTATCAGRKTTAATGGCTTCTCTCKTGGCTCTTTCGTTCTGGACGTTATCAGTCGTCTYATTGTTCATTGTGAGCCCCTTCAAACGCATGACAAACTGARGCGGCTTCCTTCTAGCGAAATGGCATCGTATAGATATAACTGTTGCTGTCAGTACAAGCGCTAGCTCACCCATAAYGRACAWGTAATACAGACCAAGTMTTGGTACAAAATCCGAAGTCTCCGGAAGGATWTCAGAAACAATCAAAAGGTACACACTCATGGYTAATAGGACTGTGATGTTTAGTCCAATTCTCTCGCCACAGKCCGGCGGGAGAASAAAACTAAMCAATGAGAGGAAAGAGATTATGACGCAAGGTASAATGTGGTAAATCACGTGATAWCTAGGTTTTCTCTCCAGGGTAAACGTATATGTGATGTCAGAGAATGGGTAGGCACAGCACGAGTAGTTYATCAGTCGTAGATTCATTGATACATCACGAAGGTGCCAGTCACCATTAGATACGTATTTTTCTGTTGGGAGAAATACGTGCATAAGTTACTAGAAATTTTTTTAGRATTGGTGGKGTAAACTACACAGGAACGTCACGAGTCATTGAGGTATTTTCCTACTGATAAAACATAATGAATATATCTGGAAATTCGACTGCTCTTTATAAAAACAAAGCCTTTGTTACACGTTGAATTTTTTAACCTGAAACTTGTGTACAACCGCAGCGTTGAGAAAAAACTTTCATGGGGATCTTACCCGGAGCAATTTCTTCCTAAAATTCGTTCACGTCACAAGTTTAGGTTGCACGAATAAAAAGCGGTTATACGATTGACCAGCGCACTTCTAACCGTGCTCTGTGCCCTGACCTGCGGTGGCTCTCTTTGAAATTCTTATTTCCTACCCTAGTCTTCCCTGCTGTTTTGATTCTCTCGAGAACTCCACTTGCTCTGCTGTTAAACTCAAATAGGAGTATAGTGATCATAATATAAGTTGAATATTATTTGGGGAAAAAATCTCTGGTACAAAGCATGATGAGAAACCGAGTACTTACGCTTTTCCGACTCCTCTAAAAGAAAAGTCCCTTTCACAGTTCCCTGCGCCATCTTGAAAGGTAGCCGTGCCGTTGCATTGAGGCAATACAAACGGTGAGCTTGCAATGATAGAAACAGGTGAATAATTGTCTGAGGTGTTAAAAAAGGTCTCTATCATTGCAAGCTCACCGTTCGTCTCGCTTTGATGCAAAGGCACGGCTATCTTTCAAGATGGCACAGCCAACTGTGAAGGGGACTATTCATCTCACAGTTTTCCTTCGAAATTTATTTATGAGCTTTGAAGCACGCTGGCTATTAGATTTGGTATGGTCTATACTATGCTAACAAACTGTTCTTACATGTGATGCCGTTGCCAGAAATCGAACTCAAGACTTATCGAGGCAAAATGCGAGTGTACTTCTACACCACCTTTGATTACGTCTTACCAGTTATTTGGTGCGTCTCATGTAGTTGTTCCATCTCTACCAATCTACTATCGTACGYCCATGAACCAAATGTCATGTCACACTTCTGAGAGTCGAAAGGAAAGTTGGTAATATCCATGCTGCAGGAACTCTTGAAGGTTGTTGATGCCATCCACGTGCAGGTACCACTACTGTCCAATATGACGTAAGTCTTGAACTTCTCTAGAAATCCTGCCTGGGAAACGTCTTCGTCACCACTAAGAAAATAACAAGTAGAAGTTTAAAGAAATTGCAATACCATTAAAGGCACTACAGTTTCAGAAACGTTCGCCCGCAATGGTCAAATTTCTAACACCCTATTGGATATTTTGGGTGTTATGTTTTCCATTTAAAGACATGTGTCATTCCCTTGAATAACACTGAGTATCAAGAGGAGAAGAAAAATAAAAAGAAGAAGMTAGGGGAAGAAGTAAACATTAGACGAATATCACGCAAATGAGGAGAAGAAGAAGCAATCTCAAACTAAAGTTAATTATCAGTCATTATCATTTAATTCTGCAAAGAACGTGCGTGATAAGGGAAAAGACCATGCCTGATATGAGACCGTATCATCACTGCTCAACTGCTCTCGATCTAGTACGATACAGTTTAGAGGGAGGGAATTTGAGCATTTCTTTGCAGAATACAATGACGAGCAACTTATCAGTTGGCTAAGCATCTGATACGGCTTTGCATTTTTACTCGTCACTTGTATTTTGGCTAGCCTAAAGGCTCARTCAGGCTCACAGTCATATCAGAAAGGGCTGGTGCAAATTGGGTAGTTAGGGTCATTATTTTTATRCAAACTCAAAGGGAGGGTAACAAAATTGTGCAAGTGTGTTATATGTAGGGGRCCTCGGATGCAGATGGACGGTMAAATGTWCCAGCCAGAAAGGAAATACAATATTTTATCTCTATTGTAATCAACAACCAACTCACTTGTCATATAGCACAGTATCTGGGACCCAMATATTTTCAGGCTTGATGTGTAGRGTATGGATTCCACCATTATCACTTTCGTTCCACAATAGGAAGGGATTGTTCCATTGCTACGCAAACACACAAGAAGAAGAAAAACAAATTGATTATTACTTTGATGGAAAAAACTGGGTCGATCGAGTTTGCCTTGTGGTGCAWTTTGGGTCTGTTTTAGCGGTCAAAAGAAAAGCCATCTTGGAAATATGTTCCTTAAAACAGCCGAAAACTCAAGAAGATAAAAAAGAGATTATTATTTACTAGGCATTTYAAGGTCGAGGAAKAAAACTGGGTCAAGTAAGCATCGCAGTGCATTTTGGGATTTTTTAAGGGGCAAAATAGACGCCATCTTGGATATATGCCCCCTAAAACAGCAGTCCCACAATTCATGCAATACTAACCAGACTCAATGTTTCCCTCATCCTCTCCTCGAGTGGCTAACAGGTCAATCTCATTTTTTCTCTCGCTTCAGTAGTTCTCAGTCGTAGGTTTTTGATATCATGTTAAGAGTTTTCTGTCAATAGACCTCTTTGGCTCGGACGTAATGCTGTCACATTTCAGACCACTTGTCATTCCCTAGAGTATCCTTTCTTTGTTTAACGGTTGCGCTCGGTTGCACATGAGGAGACACACGTGCACGGATATGGATACAACTCAAACAAAAAATCTCATTATCAAGGGAATGAGACGTGGTCTGAAATGGGACAATATTACGTCCAAGCCGAGGAGGTATATAGCAGGCGAACGAAATAGCCGCTTAACCCAGGGTTTTCTCACCTGTACAATAAACGCATCAATAACCATCAGTTGCTTTTTTGTGTTCTAGGATACAAAGAAAGTACAGTCAAAGAAAGCATTTTTTTGCTGCGGGCTACGTACACTACACTGTAGTGGACCCAAGTGGGCAGCTTGAGTGTATTTCGGCCTTATTCCACGACGTCACGCGCGGAAGTAATTTTTTTTAGTAAATTCGAAGTAAATCATACAATTTTGTAATGTTAAATATATAATATTAATACTGAAATTAAACTAAGTCAATCCTAAAAATCTTAAAAGTATATAAAAGTATATTWAAAAAATTCAAAAAAGAGTGAATTACAAAAAGATATTTCCGATGCCAATTCAAAAGTAGCAAAAACCAAATGTAAAGGTCTGTCATAAAAATGCAGCATTGATTGCGTGGTTGAAAAATACTATTTTGCCTATTATCGAACTCAAACTTCTTTTTATACTTTCAAACTAACAGACACTTGGATTGGCTAAACACTAAATGATGTCATACCAGTTCAACCAGTTTATTCAGCCTCAAGCTAAAAGACACTTTGATTGGTTTAYTGTGGTCTTTGATAGGGCGGACTGTTTTGTCGTACTCATTCTGCTCAAACAGCTTATTTCGTAGAATCTTCTCAAATGTTCCTCTTGTAGCAGTGRCTACTCGAGCTCCTTAAAAACAAGCCAATAATAAGCATCCAGTTAAAACTTCCCTCATCGAACCAATTACCGTAGAGTCCAGTAGTACATATAGCGACACGAGTGATTCACGTCCGGCTGCGCACTCTCGTAGTCTGCGCGTAAATTAAATTTCATGTACAGACTAGGAACATGCGCAGACGATTATCACTCGAAAACGTCGTGAAATTGCAAAAAATGCGCAAATGCCAAACTAACTTTTGTGGGTACTCTGCTTGAGTGATCAAGCACAAACATTTCGAGTCGAGGCTTCGAGAAAACAATGTTGTAATCGTGAATATCATCTGTTTCCCCGGAGCCTCAACACGATTTGTTTTGTCGCTTGATCACTCAACGATAATATTTGACATTCAAACYTGTAAATGGATTGCACTTGACAAAATTCTTAAACTTAAACTCGGTTTAAAAAAAATCAACAGGTATGGGAATTTTACGGGCTGGAAGTTGGTGCTATGTTCCTCTGAWTGGGGACTCTTAGTCCTAATAAGAACGACTTATGAGAAAGATTATGATGATTACCATTAACCTTAATGTCTTACGATACAATCAAAATTTCATTTCGTTGGTACACACACAAACGATGGTTATTTTCACTAAAGGTCAAGAGCTTGATATAGGCATCTCTTTGGATCGCTTTAATTTGTCTGCAGCTATCTATGACACCTGAATCAATATTTTCAGCATT